TTGTAGATGATATGCATGTATGTTGTAGATGATATGCATGTATGTTGTAGATGATATGCATGTATGCTGTAGATGATATGCATGTATGCTGTAGATGATATTCATGTATCTTGTAGATGATATGCATGTATGTTGTAGATGATATTCATGTATCTTGTAGATGATATGCATGTATGTTGTGGATGATATGCATGTATGTTGTAGATGATATGTATGTATGTTGTAGATGATATGTATGTATGTTGTAGATGATATGTATGTATCTTGTAGATGATATGTATGTATGTTGTGGATGATATGTATGTATGTTGTAGATGATATGCATGTATGTTGTAGATGATATGCATGTATGTTGTAGATGATATGCATGTATGTTGTAGATGATATGCATGTATCTTGTAGATGATATGCATGTATGTTGTAGATGATATGCATGTATCTTGTAGATGATATGCATGTATGTTGTAGATGATATGTATGTATGTTGTAGATGATATTCATGTATCTTGTAGATGATATTCATGTATCTTGTAGATGATATGCATGTATGTTGTAGATGATATTCATGTATCTTGTAGATGATATGCATGTATGTTGTGGATGATATGTATGTATGTTGTAGATGATATGCATGTATGTTGTAGATGATATGCATGTATGCTGTAGATGATATGCATGTATGCTGTAGATGATATTCATGTATCTTGTAGATGATATGCATGTATGTTGTAGATGATATTCATGTATTTTGTAGATGATATGCATGTATGTTGTGGATGAGATGTATGTATGTTGTAGATGATATGCATGTATGTTGTAGATGATATGCATGTATGTTGTAGGTGATATGTATGTATGTTGTAGATGATATGCATGTATGCTGTAGATGATATGCATGTATGTTGTAGATGATATGCATGTATCTTGTAGATGATATGTATGTATCTTGTAGATGATATGCATGTATGTTGTAGATGATATGCATGTATGTTGTAGATGATATGTATGTATGTTGTAGATGATATGCATGTATGCTGTAGATGATATGCATGTATGTTGTAGATGATATGCATGTATGCTGTAGATGATATGCATGTATGTTGTAGATGATATGCATGTATCTTGTAGATGATATGTATGTATGTTGTAGATGATATGTATGTATCTTGTAGATGATATGCATGTATGTTGTAGATGATATGCATGTATGTTGTAGATGATATGCATGTATGCTGTAGATGATATGCATGTATGCTGTAGATGATATGTATGTATGTTGTAGATGATATGCATGTATGTTGTAGATGATATGCATGTATGTTGTAGATGATATGCATGTATGCTGTAGATGATATTCATGTATCTTGTAGATGATATGCATGTATCTTGTAGATGATATGCATGTATGCTGTAGATGATATGTATGTATGTTGTAGATGATATGCATGTATGTTGTAGATGATATGCATGTATGCTGTAGATGATATGCATGTATGCTGTAGATGATATTCATGTATCTTGTAGATGATATGCATGTATGTTGTAGATGATATGCATGTATGCTGTAGATGATATGCATGTATGCTGTAGATGATATTCATGTATCTTGTAGATGATATGCATGTATGTTGTAGATGATATGCATGTATGTTGTAGATGATATGTATGTATCTTGTAGATGATATGTATGTATGTTGTAGATGATATGCATGTATGTTGTAGATGATATGCATGTATGCTGTAGATGATATGCATGTATGTTGTAGATGGTATGTATGTATGTTGTAGATGATATGCATGTATGTTGTGGATGATATTCATGTATCTTGTAGATGATATGTATGTATGTTGTAGATGATATGCATGTATGTTGTGGATGATATTCATGTATCTTGTAGATGATATGTATGTATGCTGTAGATGATATGCATGTATCTTGTAGATGATATGCATGTATGTTGTAGATGATATGCATGTATCTTGTAGATGATATGCATGTATGCTGTAGATGATATGTATGTATGTTGTAGATGATATGTATGTATGCTGTAGATGATATGCATGTATGTTGTAGATGATATGCATGTATGTTGTAGATGATATGCATGTATCTTGTAGATGATATGTATGTATGTTGTAGATGATATGTATGTATGTTGTAGATGATATGTATGTATGTTGTAGATGATATGCATGTATGTTGTAGATGATATGCATGTATGTTGTAGATGATATGCATGTATATTGTAGATGATATGCATGTATGTTGTAGATGATATGCATGTATGTTGTAGATGATATGCATGTATGTTGTAGATGATATGTATGTATCTTGTAGATGATATGTATGTATGTTGTGGATGATATGCATGTATCTTGTAGATGATATGCATGTATGTTGTAGATGATATGCATGTATCTTGTAGATGATATGCATGTATGTTGTAGATGATATGTATGTATCTTGTAGATGATATGCATGTATGTTGTAGATGATATGCATGTATGTTGTAGATGATATGCATGTATGCTGTAGATGATATGCATGTATGCTGTAGATGATATTCATGTATCTTGTAGATGATATGCATGTATGTTGTAGATGATATGCATGTATGTTGTAGATGATATGTATGTATGTTGTAGATGATATGCATGTATCTTGTAGATGATATGCATGTATGCTGTAGATGATATGCATGTATGCTGTAGATGATATTCATGTATCTTGTAGATGATATGCATGTATGTTGTAGATGATATGTATGTATGTTGTAGATGATATGCATGTATCTTGTAGATGATATGTATGTATGTTGAAGATGATATGCATGTATCTTGTAGATGATATGTATGTATGTTGTAGATGATATGCATGTATGTTGTAGATGATATGTATGTATGTTGTAGATGATATGCATGTATGTTGTAGATGATATGCATGTATCTTGTAGATGATATGTATGTATGTTGTAGATGATATGCATGTATGTTGTAGATGATATGCATGTATCTTGTAGATGATATGCATGTATGTTGTAGATGATATGCATGTATGCTGTAGATGATATGCATGTATGTTGTAGATGATATTCATGTATGCTGTAGATGATATGTATGTATGTTGTAGATGATATGCATGTATGTTGTAGATGATATGCATGTATGCTGTAGATGATATGCATGTATGCTGTAGATGATATTCATGTATCTTGTAGATGATATGCATGTATCTTGTAGATGATATGCATGTATGCTGTAGATGATATGTATGTATGTTGTAGATGATATGCATGTATGTTGTAGATGATATGCATGTATGCTGTAGATGATATGCATGTATGCTGTAGATGATATTCATGTATCTTGTAGATGATATGCATGTATGTTGTAGATGATATGCATGTATGCTGTAGATGATATGGATGTATGCTGTAGATGATATTCATGTATCTTGTAGATGATATGCATGTATGTTGTAGATGATATGCATGTATGTTGTAGATGATATGTATGTATCTTGTAGATGATATGTATGTATGTTGTAGATTATATGCATGTATGTTGTAGATGATATGCATGTATGCTGTAGATGATATGCATGTATGTTGTAGATGGTATGTATGTATGCTGTAGATGATATGCATGTATGTTGTAGATGATATGTATGTATGTTGTAGATGGTATGTATGTATGTTGTAGATGATATGTATGTATGTTGTAGATGATATGCATGTATGCTGTAGATGATATGCATGTATGTTGTGGATGATATTCATGTATCTTGTAGATGATATGTATGTATGTTGTAGATGATATGCATGTATGTTGTGGATGATATTCATGTATCTTGTAGATGATATGTATGTATGTTGTAGATGATATGCATGTATGTTGTGGATGATATTCATGTATCTTGTAGATGATATGTATGTATGTTGTAGATGATATGCATGTATGTTGTAGATGATATGCATGTATGTTGTAGATGATATGCATGTATCTTGTAGATGATATGCATGTATGCTGTAGATGATATGTATGTATGTTGTAGATGATATGTATTTATGCTGTAGATGATATGCATGTATGTTGGAGTTGATATGCATGTATGTTGTAGATGATATGTATGTATGTTGTAGATGATATGCATGTATGTTGTAGATGATATGCATGTATGCTGTAGATGATATGTATGTATGTTGTAGATGATATTCATGTATCTTGTAGATGATATGCATGTATCTTGTAAATGATATGCATGTATGTTGTAGATGATATGCATGTATGTTGTAGATGATATGTATGTATGTTGTAGATGATATGCATGTTTGTTGTGGATGATATGCATGTATGTTGTAGATGATATGTATGTATGTTGTAGATGATATGCATGTATGTTGTGGATGATATGCATGTATGTTGTAGATGATATGTATGTATGTTGTAGATGATATGTATGTATGTTGTAGATGATATGCATGTATGTTGTGGATGATATGCATGTATGTTGTAGTTGATATGTATGTATGTTGTAGATGATATGTATGTATGTTGTAGATGGTATGTATGTATGTTGTAGATGATATGCATGTATGTTGTAGATGATATGCATGTATGTTGTAGATGATATGCATGTATGTTGTAGATGATATGCATGTATGTTGTGGATGATATGCATGCATGTTGTAGATGATATGCATGTAAGTTGTGGAGGATATGCATGTATCTTGTAGATGATATGCATGTATGTTGTAGATGGTATGCATGTATGTTGTAGATGATATGCATGTATGTTGTAGATGATATGCATGTATCTTGTAGATGTTATGTATGTATGTTGTTGTCACACATCTTGGGAAAAAACCAATAGAGTGATGAATTGAAGAGTGAAAAAATATTGGTCACCCAATGAAAAATGTAATAACCCAATTAAAATAGAAACTTTCGAGTAAAAACTGGATTGCTCAAAATGTTATCTGGACCTCTGAATGTTGTAGATGGCACGTCTCCTGCACACTGGTCCGCTGCTGTGTCCTATACGAAGAGCTACCCATCAGTCCCAGCAGGTATCACAGCTCGCTTCAGCCTCGCCCCAAAGGACTTCGGTTTCACCAATTACATCTTTACCCTTGTGGGAGAAAGAAATATGCAGAATTACCTAGAAAGATGCGAGATATCTACCGTCCAGGCGTCTACTTGTCAGGGAAAAGTAAGTCTGGGACCATGCACTTTGATCACCTTAATTACATATCTTGGGACTCGTTAAGATTCCGGGGTAGAATAGGTCTTCAGCAACCCATGCTTACCGTAAAAGGTGACTATGCTTGTCGTAAAAGGCGACTAACGGGATCGGGTGGTCAGGCTCACTGACTTGGTTAATGCATGTCATCGATCCCAATTGCGTGGATCGATGCTCATGATATTAATCACTGGATTGTCTGGTTCAGACTCGATTATTTACAGACCGCCGTCATATAGCTGGAATATTGCTGAGTGCGGCGTTAAACATCAAACCAACCAACCAACCAACTTATCTTGGAGCTAATAGTTCCAGCAGAGCTAGTTTCACTCGTTGAATAATCCTTCGAGATGAAAGCAAGAAACAGGCTACTTAGGTCTGCAGCCATGGTTCGGACTGCTATGTTGATACAGTAAACTACGGTTATAACGAACACGCTTATAGCGAACTGACGGATATAACGAACTTACTTTTTTGGTCCCGACTATTTGCTGTTGTTATACTGTATATATGCTTATAACGAACTACGGTTATAACGAACTAAATTTAGCAGTCCCTTTGAGTTCGTTATAACCGTACTTTACTGTATAATCGAATTTTTGTTTTGTTTATTATATACGTGTTTGGGTCGTTTACAACTAAGGGATGAAAATCGAAAGATGGATGAAAGAGGCCGGTCTTTTATGACATTGCTCTAATCTACTGAAAATAAAAGACAAAATGCAAAAACACTTTATAATATTTTCCCACTTTAACATAACCCTCCCCAAATCATGTGTATTATGTAACCGCCAAACATTTTGTTGATCTTCCCCTGAGTCTCTCTGAATCACAACCATCGCACCCCTCCCCCATTGCATCACAGTGCTTTGCAGACCATTGTGACGTCATTGGTTACCGTGCCATCACAATCTAATGGCTCTGCTCCTCTCCTGAAGCTGTTAGTACTTTTCAGCTGTTAAGCCCCCGTTACACCATCCAATACAATACAATACAGTCCTATCCCCATGCTGTCCCACTCTATCCCCTTCCAATCCCATTCCAAATCCCATTACCATCCAACCACATCCCATGACAACCCATCCCCTCCCACTTCACCCCACCCCTTCCCATCCCATCCCATCCCATCCCATCCCATCCAATCCAATCCCGTCCCATCCCATCCCAACCCATCCCATCCCATCCCATCCCATCCGATCCCATCCCATCTCATCCCATCCCACTCCAACCCATCCCATCTAATCCCATCCCATCCTATCTCATCCCAACCCCATCGCATCCCAACCCATCCCTTCCCATCCCATCCCATTCCATTCCATCCCATCCCATCCCATCCCATCCCATCCCATCCCATCCTATCCCATCCCACCCAATTCCATCCCATCCCATCCCATCCTATCCCATTCCACCCAATTCCATCCCATCCCATCCCACTCCATCCCATCACATCCTACTCCTCTCCACTCCACTCCACTCCACTCCACTCCACTCCACTCCACTCCACTCCACTCCTGTCCTGTCCTGTCCACCCCTGTCCACTCCACTCCACTCCACTCCACTCCACCCCACCCAACCCCACCCCACCCCACTCCACTCCACTCCTCTCCACTCCACTCCACTCCACTCCACTCACATCACATTCTACTCCTCTCCACTCCACTCCACTCCACCCCACCCCACCCCACCTCACCCCGCTCCACTCCACTCCTCTCCACTCCACCCCACCCCACCCGACTCCTCTCCACTCCACTCCACTCCACCCCACCCCACTCCACTCCACTCCACTCCACCCCACCCCACCCGACTCCTCTCCACTCCACTCCACCCCACCCCACTCCACTCCACTCCACTCCACTCCACCCCACCCGACTCCTCTCCACTCCACCTCACCCCACTCCACTCCACTCCACTCCACTCCACCCCACCCCACTCCACTCCTCTCCACTCCACCCCACCTCACCCCACTCCACTCCACTCCACTCCACTCCACTCCACTCCACCCCACCCCACTCCGCTCCACTCCACTCCGGCCCATCCCATCCCATCCAATCCCATACCATCCCATCCCATCACATCCTACTCCTCTCCACTCCACTCCACCCCACTCCGCTCCGCTCCACTCCACTCCACTCCACTCCACTCCACTCCACTCCACTCCACTCCACTCCACTCACATCACATTCTACTCCTCTCCGCTCCACTCCACTCCACCCCACCCCACCCAACCCCACCCGAACCCCACCTCACCCCACTCCACTCCACTCCACTCCTGTCCACTCCAACCCACCCCACCCGACTCCTCTCCACTCCACTCCACTCCACCCCACCCCACCCCACCCCGCTCCACTCCACTCCGGCCCATCCCATCCCATCCCATCCCATCCCATCCCATCACATCCTACTCCTCTCCACTCCGCTCCACCCCACTCCTCTCCACTCCGCTCCGCTCCACTCCACTCCACTCCACTCCACTCACATCACATTCTACTCCTCTCCACTCAACTCCACTCCACCCCACCCCATCCAACCTCGCCCCGCTCCACTCCACTCCACTCCGGCCCATCCCAACCCACCCCACCCCACTCCACTCCACTCCGGCCCATCCCATCCCATCCCATACCATCACATCCTACTCCTCTCCACTCCACTCCACCCCACTCCGCTCCGCTCCACTCCACCCCACCCCACCCCACTCCACTCCACTCAACACCACTCCACTCCACTCCGCTCCACTCCACTCCACTCCACTCCACTCCACTCCACTCCACTCCACTCCACTCCACTCACATCACATCACATCCTACTCCTCTCCACTCCACTCCACTCCACCCCACCCCACCCCACCCCACCCCACCCCACCCCACCCCACCCAACCCTACCCCACCCCACCCCACCCCACTCCACTCCACTCCACTCCACTCCACTCAACTCAACTCCACACCACTCCACTCCACTCCGGCCCATCCCATCCCATTCCATACCATCACATCCTACTCCTCTCCACTCCACTCCACTCCACTCCGCTCCACCCTCTCCGCTCCACTCCGCTCCACTCCACTCCACTCCACTCCACTCCACTCACATCACATCCTACTCCTCTCCACTCCACACCACCCCACCCCACCTGCTGTTTTGTCAGCAGTGGCGGATCAAATATCGGGTCCATAAACAAAAATTGGTTTCAGAGTGAATTGTTGTATTGATTCATTTATGTCGTAGTTTTAAGTAAACAGAATGTCGACACCAGATGTTTTTTCATCAATATTTAATACTCAGGTGTTCGCCTCTCCGCTTCCTGAATTACTTGTTCGCTGGGGAACCGAACAGATAATAGAGGTCGCCCCGCTTTCATACCTGAAGATTAACATTCTAAAATTCAAATAAAAAAATAACACTTAAATTCTCTCGTTTTCAGACGTACGACAAACCTGCAGAAAATGCCACTTCAATCACCATTACGTTTACTGTTGATGTGGCGGATACATACAAGATTAGGGTAAGTTTCAGTTCGCCAATAGTGCCAGATGAAATCTGGAGTTTAGGGTCAGTCTACAATGTGACGGTGTGACAGTACAAAGACGTAAATGTGTGACGGTTTTACAGAACTAGCGTAGATGTTTGACGGTATTACGGTGTGTGCGTGTGACGGTGTTACAGTGCACGTTGGATGAGTGTGGATGTGTGACGGTTTTACAGAACTAGCGTAGATGTTTGACGGTATTACGGAGTGTGCGTGTGACGGTGTTACAGTGCACGTTGGATGGGTGTGGATGTGTGACGGTTTTACAGAACTAGCGTAGATGTTTGACGGTATTACGGTGTGTGCGTGTGACGGTGTTACAGTGCACGTTGGATGGGTGTGGATGTGTGACGGTTTTACAGAACTAGCGTAGATGTTTGACGGTATTACGGTGTGTGCGTGTGACGGTGTTACAGTGCACGTTGGATGGGTGTGGATGTGTGACGGTTTTACAGAACTAGCGTAGATGTTTGACGGTATTACGGCGTGTGCATGTGGCGGTGTTACAGTGCACGTTGGATGGGCGTGGATGTGTGATGGTTTTACAGTACTAGTGTAGATGTTTGACGGTATTACGGTGTGTGCGTGTGACGGTGTTACAGTGCACGTTGGATGGGTGTGGATGTGTGACGGTTTTACAGAACTAGTGTAGATGTTTGACGGTGTTACGGCGATGAGAGTTTGACGGCGTAACAGTGCACGTTGGATGGGCGTGGATGTGTGATGGTTTTACAGAACTAGTGTAGATGTTTGACGGTATTACGGCGTGTGCATGTGGCGGTGTTACAGTGCACGTTGGATGGGCGTGGATGTGTGATGGTTTTACAGAACTAGCGTAGATGTTTGACGGTATTACGGTGTGTGCGTGTGACGGTGTTACAGTGCACGTTGGATGAGTGTCGATGTGTGACGGTTTTACAGAACTAGCGTAGATGTTAGACGGTATTACGGTGTGTGCGTGTGACGGTGTTACAGTGCACGTTGGATGAGTGTGGATGTGTGACGGTTTTACAGAACTAGCGTAGATGTTTGACGGTATTACGGTTTGTGCGTGTGACGGTGTTACAGTGCACGTTGGATGAGTGTGGATGTGTGACGGTTTTACAGAACTAGCGTAGATGTTTGACGGTATTACGGTGTGTGCGTGTGACGGTGTTACAGTGCACGTTGGATGGGCGTGGATGTGTGATGGTTTTACAGTACTAGTGTAGATGTTTGACGGTATTACGGTGTGTGCGTGTGACGGTGTTACAGTGCACGTTGGATGGGTGTGGATGTGTGACGGTTTTACAGAACTAGTGTAGATGTTTGACGGTGTTACGGCGATGAGAGTTTGACGGCGTAACAGTGCACGTTGGATGGGCGTGGATGTGTGATGGTTTTACAGTACTAGTGAAGATGTTTGACGGTGTTACGGCGTGTATGTGTGACGGGTTGACAGCGTACATGTTTGATGGTGTGTATTGTGACGGTTTTACGGCGAACATGTTTGATGGTGTGTATTGTGATGGTTTTACATCGTACATGTTTGATGGTGTGTAATGTGACGGGTTTACATCGTACATGTTTGATGGTGTGTATTGTGACGGTTTTACAGCGTACATGTTTAATGGCATGTATCAGTGATGGCTTCAAAATGTGCATGTTTAACGATGTTTCGGCATTACCATGTAGATGTTTGATGGCATGCATGTGACCCTGTGACAGTCATGAAGCACCACGGACAGCACGTGCAAGGGTGTCTGGGTGTGTGTGTGTTGGGGGGGGGGGGGGATGGGGGGGGGGGGGGGGGACATGCTAGATTTACCGTTGTCACTCAGACTCGGTTGTGAGCAGACGCATATTGATTTCTTGGAAACAAACGCTCAAAGACACTTTATTAAACACATTTAATAAATGGAGCAACAGCATTGGTCATGCGACGTTACATGACATAGAGATGTTGCAGGGGGCCCACTCTGTCATTGTGGGCACGATACCTACAAAGACATGACGTCGATGATCGACGCCAATCTGGACGCCCGAGGGCAACAACTCCAGCCCAGGACAGATTAGTCGAAACGATGGCATTAAGAATCGGTTGCAAACTGCCACTCAGATAAAGGACCGATTGCAACAGGCAACTCGTGTAAGAGTACATGCCCAGGCGGCGCAAAATCGTCTGCACAGATGGCATTTGCGTGCAAGACGTCCACGTGTCATCACATTACTTACTGCACGGCATTTGAGTCAGAGGCGTCAGTGGCATCATCACTGGGACAACATGTACAAACATTAAACTTTAAATTCTTAAAAGAGGAATGTCCTTATAAATAAAAGCGACAAAACCGTTTTCATATTCATAAGAAATCTTTCCAAATTCAGACAATATCATGAGCATGCGCCTATGAACCACTATTAATTAGTGCACACGGTGACACCCGTCACAAACACGTGCCAAGGCAAGTCAATTGCTCCCTGAAAAAAGCACGGGAATATGTTACAAGTCAAAATAGGGCTTTACATTGGACATATTTTTGTCACTGATGCGTCAAATTTGGAAATGTCCTCCACATGTACTTTAAACAACTTTTGAGCAAGAGTCGTATGACGCCCTTTGTAATCTTCTCAGAAAGACGTTAATTCGTTTGATGTTGTTACGTACGTTTTAATACTCTACCGCCGAGTCATACCGAAATGTACGTGTTTTGTGATTTGAGATAGGAACGTCAATGTTGTAAATGAAGACATCTTCTCGTGGCAAGGGAGTTAAGTGACTGTTAAAGTCCAGTTTCCAACCTTGCCGAACTAGGCTGCAATAATAAACTTATAGTTCGGCTGGACTAACGAGTCTTTGCATAGTCCAATCAAAATCGCGTAACGAAATCGACATCCGGTCGGTAAACAACGTCGAGCAGGATTTGCAAAGGATGTGTACTGTCAACTGGGCGTCGAAAGATAATGTCCAGTTGTTTTCATGTTTTTAATCAAGATGCTCTCATGTTTTGATGCACTTCGTGAAGTAAGACCCGTTTTATTACAATATACAACTGAACCGCAAAAGAAACGTCACCCCAAGTAACATTTCATGAAAAGTTGTCATTTAATTATCTTGGTTATGTTTGTCAAAGTTTCTAAAAGTTAACATTACCTTGTCCGGAAAAATGAAATTTGATGATAAAAAAAAGCAGATGACAATAAAACCGATCGACCAAACGCATCATGGCAACGGCCATGGTAACCCGATGCACGTGAGTTCCGTGCAAATTGAAATGTACATGCGTTTCCCCATTTTTTGCCCTATAAAAATCCACCCAGATCGGATAACATTCATTCGTTATTGGATTGCTACCACATGCCAAGATTGACAAGAAATCAGCGACACCAAGCCCTTGGACGATTGCAAGGTGGAAAAACCACCCGGCAAGTAGCCAATGCATTTCAAGTCCACGTAAGGACCATATATAGGCTCCAGCAACGGTACCAGACCACCAACACTACAGATGACCGACCACGTAGTGGAAGACCAAGGGTCACCACCCGACGTCAGGATCGTCAGATTGTGCGACAGCATCTTCAAGGTCGCTTTGTTACTGCTGCGGAAACTGCTCGACAGACCATGGGGACACACCAGCGACTCATTAGTGCGGACACCGTGCGTCGACGATTGACGAGCAGACACCTCCACTCTCACAGGCCTAACCGAGGACCCATTCTGACAACACGTCATCCCCGGGGCCATCTTCAGTGTGCAACACAGCACCAGCATCGGTGCCACCAGCAGTGGAGAAGAGTCCTGTTCTCAGACGAGAGCCGTTACTGTATCTAAACAGCAGATGACAGAGAGAGAGAGAGAGTCTGGCGACGCCGTGGGGAACGTTATTCGGATGCTTGTTTTGTTGAGAGAGGGGTGGTTCGAGCATCATGGTGTGGGTTGGAATTGGTCTTGCACAGAGGGTCGGCCCTGTGGTCTTCCAGAACATCGGTCCTGGGAGAGGCATTGGTGTCACAGCAGCTCGGTACATTGATCAAGTCTTGAGACCACACGCCACACCTCATTTGGCACGTCACCGCAACCACGAGTTTCAGCATGATAACGTCCGTGCCCACACTGCGAGAAGAGACTTCCTCCAACAGAATGGCATCAGAACCAAGCAGTGGCCTACCCTCAGTCCCGATTTAAATCCCATTGAGCACCTATGGGACGAGATTAAAAAAACGGCTGATCCTCAGAGTGTGGGCTCAAGTGCCTGTGGCCTTCATCAACCGCCTCATCCATTCCATGTATCGACGTTGCACGGCCGTCATCAATGCACATGACGGACACACGAGATACTGACTTGTGATGCCATTTTCTCAGAAACTAGTGTTGTGTTTCACTTTAAGAATATTTGACACTTTAAATTCAACATTAATGATCAGTTTTGCCAAGATTCATCTTTTTAATATGTCTCAAAGTATGTTTGGACGAATAAGGTTTCTCATATATCTATCCATAGTAACGTTTCTTTTGCGGTTGAGTATATTTTGATCATCGATCAGATCGTCCTCACTGAGCGCCACCATTTTGTTTGAAGCAAATGCAAGTGATCTGAGAGGTGGAATCTGATTGGTCAATAGAAGAGGCCTAGAAGGGACATAACTCGTAATAGCCACTGGTGGCGCTACGATCGAGCCCAGAAATTCTAGACTAAAGTACTCATGGAAATGAAAAAAACACCTGTTTTGCTGGATTTAATAATCGACACAAAGCATTACGTAAATGTAAATACGAAATAAGAAAACAACTGGAAAAGTACTAGTCTGGATTTGCTAGTTTTATCTCAGTGCTCAATACAAAATGTACTTTACAGGAGGTAATTTGTAGGCACTTTCAACATTCAAAAATAAAACTAAGTCCAAATTGACATGGCAGAAACAGGCTATAGGCATTATGCAAATTAGCCTGGAAAAAAGTTATCAAAACAACAATAAAAATAACAGCTATGTTTATGTACATAATAATAATGACATGTAAGTTGTTGTTTGAGAAGGGAATATGTTACTTTTACGTTCTGATATTTTGAGGATGATTCACTATCCCACAATGCCACTCACAAATCACTAACCACTGACAAATCACATGCACGTGGATTTCAAGCACCTGTTTTCACCTGTCGTCAAGGTGCCATAGGTCATGGACATTAACCTTGATCTACTAACACCTGGTTATGCACAGTTTCACAATAGTCTGTTTTGTTAATATTTTTACACACTTTTACGTGTAAAAAGACATAAAACCCTTTGATACGCTGTATTTGTGCCAAGGCCCAATTAGTACTAATTGAGTTGTTTGAATATTGATATAATTTGTATATTTACTGCATTTATTTAAAATCTGAGTTCGAAAAAACAGTTGTTTTTTTCATTTCCGTGAGTACTTTAGTTCGGCAATGGTGGAAACTGGACTTTTAGAGTCAGTTAACTCCTTTGCCTCGGAAAAATGGAATGAAGAGTGTACAATAGTCTAATACAGTATGAACATTGTGCATACAAATTATGCATCCACGAGTGAGATCTGCATATTGAACGGAACTCGAGTCTGTTTACTGCAAGGCCACTCGGCACCTGATTACGCCTCTGAAAAACACTACCACTGATTCCAAACGTTTGTTGTTTGAGACAACTAAAACGGAGATCACAACTTCACAGCAGAGAGCACACCAACAATGGCCATTTATGGGTGTAGATTTCACATGATTTATTTGGTAAATTGTTTCCGCTAAAAGGCACTGAAGTGTAGATTTATTCATATAACATTTCTCGTTGACAATGCAAATTATTTTTGTTGTGGCAACGGTAGTCTCCAGGTTCTTTGGTGCCTGTTACAGCGTTTCAACCGTACGCAAAGGGCCTAATTGTAACTCTGAAAGCGCATGAACACAATACCGGAAAACATCATCAAAGAATAATTGCACATTATTCTACTGTTTTACTGTCCAGATCATATTACACTGCAGCATTATTAATCTCCTCCAGTCAAATGAATAATTGACATAAATGACACGATCGTTACGTTTTGCCCTACTTTTACCCTGAATAGTATAGTCGACAGATGATATGCCGTTCGATTCCACCAACTTCAACACACCGTCGCTATGCTACGTTGGTGTAGGCATACAATGTGGGAAAAATGGAACAGAGCAAGTCAAGATGATATGCCCATGTACCAGTGTGAGTGAGTGAGTATGATGTTACGCCGCTTTTAGCAATATTCCAGCAAAATCACGGCGGGGGACACAATATATGGGCTTCACACATTGTACCCATGTCGGGAATCGAACCAGGGTCTTCGGCGTTACAAGCGAACGCTTTAACCACTAGCCGTTCCCGACTGTAATCTGCCTTGTCAGCCTGGAAATGTTGACTCATACAGGGACCAGATGAGTAAAAGCCTTTTACTTGAAAGATCTGAATGTGAAATGTTACTTAATGATACACATTACCGTATGATGGTTGCTTGACGTGCATGGCTAAAACACTTTAAACCCGGAGACAAAACTCAGATATGCTCATCTCTTATAAACCTAAAAGGAGACACTTAAGGCGTCTAACAAAACAATTACCTTAAGGAAATTGAGCGATCAGCTTCACTTGATATTAATGCTTTTTATAAAACTGTTAGAAAATAACGAGTGCGGGTGGCCGATATACATATACTTAACCATAAGCATGAATGTGGTTCTACACCCTCAGACATTTGCAATTTATGTGGTAAATATGTTTCAGATTTAGCCAAACCCTACAATAATGAAAGATTTGATGAGGTTTGTGAGAAGACAAAACTCGTAAGGTACAGATATTTAAACAGATACGAGAGAGGCATGACGAGGAAGTGGGAAAATAATTTACATCCAGATCAGAGAGGCCATCAGATCAATCAGCAGGAATATATCTCCAGGACCGGATCAAATTACAAATAAACATATCATTTGTGCAGGAGAACATCCTATTTATTCCTTATATATACTTTGTAATTACATATTATAAAACTGCAATACGTACCTTATGACTATAGACTTGGCAGGGTCATACCAATATAAGAGGGAAGAATGAGAGATCTTAAAAAGGTATTATTCTAACAACATGTCTCTGTGAGCTCTTTGAAAAATTACTGCTCAAACGTATAGAAACGGTGTAGGTTCAACCCAGATTTCCCTGATATTTCAGAATAAGATCACTGAGCTATTACATTACGTCAGTATTTACTTTCATCGAAGGTATTCAATTTTACATACAAAGTGACTCTGCAGTCAGTGGCCCTTTCTTAGATAATGAAAAAAACATTCAATAGAATATGGCACAACGGAGTATTTTACAAATTACATGAATAGAGGAAATACGTGGAAATTACTACATCATTGTTTTATATTCTCTAGGTGAAATCTCAAGACAGATATATTGTTCAACAAGGTGTTGGCCAAGGCTGAGTAATCCCTGCTTGGTGTTTTCTTGGGTTTTTTCAAATGATCTCATTACAGGCCTTAGACAAGCGCGATGTGGCATTCGTCCCTTGATATCAAGGTGGCGCCTAACATATAATCCATCAAAAAACGCAATAGTTGTGTTCACTCAAGCAAAACGCAAGGGTCATACGTTTCATTGTAAACTTGGTGATACACACAATACTATCACTGATTCTACAGTATTTGGTGGCATACCCTTAGCGTATAACCTGTCTTGTAAAACAAGAATTGAAAGGGACTGTCACAAAGCAAGGCAAAATATTAACTCCTTAAGATCTTTAGGAGTAAATACTTATGATCTTCATCAATGTCAAGCGTGAAATTATGGCTTAGAATGATACTCAAACCAGTCTTTATTAATGTGAATTTCTCTTTGACATCAAGGGTCAACAAGCCGATCTGTTCGAAAGCACATCTATGCATATGAATTTGAATTTGTGTGGAAATGTATATATGCACCAAGCAAATGATAGAACAATGAACTCATGTTTGTGTCGTGATGAGAAAATACGTATACCGTGAACTGTTGACCGATTACTCATCCCTTTACAGATTCTCTGAAATCACTGTGTTTTGTTTCTGCTGATTAAATGAATGACAATGGCAGCATCGAAATAATCATGATGGTCAGTAGGAAATGTAATTTCAATATCGATTCCTTTTTATGTTTGGTAAACTCGAGCCTTCTGTCGTCTTTGCTTTAATATAACATCTGCAACATGAAAACTGTCTTGACGAAATCCATCATTTCAAAGGTTGGATTTGTAACAATTTCCAAATGTTTTTTGGATGCATATTTACACTATAACAGTATTCAATACCTAACTAATTATAGGGCCTTTACACAGGATGGCGACCTTTGTGCCTCCCGTGTGCGACCATAAAATGTGCCAGGTTGTCGTTGGAGGCTCAAAGGAGGCAGAATGGTTGCCTAGGTCGTTCCAAGGTGGTACACAGGAGGTTCAGACATCGCCATCGACACCATGGTCGTCGTAAAATGTTGAACATGTTCAAAACAGTCGCACAAAGGTCGCCGAGGAGGTTGGTTGCTCAAAGGTGGTTCAAAGGAGGCAGAAGGGAGGCACAAGCATTGCTGTTGTTGCAGAATGAAGGCCCAGTAGACGCCCAATGGTCAGCAGGTAATAGATGCGTTCTGCTGCAAATATATTCTGTCAATCTGGGCGATGCTTCTACCTCCCTTGTGCCTCCTTTGGGCGACCAACAGCGTGCATTGAGCGATGACTGTGGCGACCGCCGTGCCTCCATTCGTCGACAACCACAACCCTTGAGACACCATGGCAATGCTTATGCCTCTTTTCTCCCTCCTTTGAGCTACCTGTAGTGCCTTCTCCGCCTGCCTATAAATAGAGGGTTGTACCTGCAGTGTTTCATTGTGGTTGCAAACGCTGAACAACTCGAACAGTTACTGCTGAACAACTGCTGGAGCAATTACATAGAAAGATGATTTTCTGGGTTTAGGCGACCATTGAGCGTCCTGGCCAGTTTTTGATTGCTCAAAGGTGGCACAAAGGTCGCAGCCCTGTGTAAAGGGGCTTAAGCCAAACATGATATGGTGGGAATATTGCTTAAAGTGACGTAAAACCATCCTCACTTACTTTCAGCTCGAGCCCAAAGATCCCTATTGGAACGATCCCAACCGCTGTCTGTGTTACGAGAAGAACTCTGACACTACCCGCTCGTGTATAAGATGCATCATTACCATAACTGGAGACATTTCCGTCGCTCAAGATGGTAGGTGATGACCTACAATGTCAGCTTTATCTGATGTACAACACGTGCGTGATCAGTGTTGCCTGTTGTGCCAGCGTAGAATAATTTGGAATAATCGTTGTTTCAGCGTTAGTGGATATACATGTAGAAGCGTGACCAGTATTAAGTCAATGTAGAATATTGATTTGAGGTCTTCGAACAATCTCATTAAAATCAGTTCTCGTTTTTGCCAAAAAACTGTCGACATCACATTACAGCTTACGTCAGAACGATCTTCATCCTATCAATCAGAGCGTCACTTACCAGATCGGGAAAGTGACAGTGAGAATGTGTTTTCTTATCATGCAACCTAGAAAATGTTAACACCAGGTATTCGAACGACACTTAATAGCTCTATGGTTACTCCCACCTCGTCGTCTATGTATCGCTTCAATGGGATAAACATTTGAAACGAGACTTTTCACGGCTTTCACAGCTATTCGACATTCCAGGATTTTCTTCTGTTCAGCTTTACAATGTTGAATCGATAGAATGGAAGTCACCTGTTTAAAACTGGTGCCATAAAATTCTGATTGGCTTTTGTCTACTTCATGTTTGCCATTTCATAGGTTGATCATAGTTTGTGAAAGGTCGTTCTCACATGACTTGTAATGGGTTGTCCTCAGATCTTTGGGTAAAGATGTTTATGAGATTTTTCTGTCGATGTTCGTTTTGGGAGGTGTAGAATATTGTTATGGGATCTGTTTTGATAGTTTCAGCCAACGAGAATAGTTATTTTGTGTCATCGATGTTACTTTAAGGCAGAATACATCTTTTGGGTCGTCGAAGTTAGCCTTAGGTAATACAGCATATTGTTGTGGAATCATTGTTATTAGATTTATCTTATTTAGATCAAAGTCTTCGGGTATTCGTTTTATTGATTTTCGTTGTGAGAGGGCGACGTTTGTTTGTATGTTGTTTAACGCCACTATATGTGCTCCAGGATGCCCACTGGTAAACAAGCTCAGTGACATTTGGGTAATCCTGCAATTATCACGGATAGGATTTCATAGATATATTTTTTGTGCATGTCCTTGTTTTCATTTTAAGTGTTTATTTCTTTCAGTGTCGTTTTTTTCCTCTGGTTATATTCCAGCCATCGTCAACAGTTTCATTCAGTATAGCACCTACCCAAAGCAAGACGGTACACAGTCAAACCTCGTTACTTTGGACCCCGTTAATCTGGACACCCCATATTCAGAACAATAACTGTTTTGGCTGCCGGTTTATCATTAACAGGACTATGGTGATTCGCTAATTCAGAAATGTGTTCATCTGGTGATTTCAATGGGAACTGCCCGGGATTTGAATGTGTATGGTATTTGTATCCACAAGTCATTGTTCTATATATAAACTGAGGAAAAGGGAGAGTATACCGAGTTTGTTTTTTATTTAATTAATATATTGAAAGAACCGTTGTTAAATGTATATTTACCCATCACTCACTCCTTCACATGTAATCTGTGGCTGCGTAAGTTTGTGTAAAAATAGTTTTTTTCTTTATTTTTATATGTTATAAAATCAAATTATATTTTAGAAAATAAAACCATGTTGAAGTATTATTTCAGTGCTGAATAAGCGTAGGAAGGGTTTATATTTGGAGTATGATGTCACTAATTTAAGATATTTTCAATTGAAAATCAAACATATGATTAAATGAACCTCGGGGTGTAGTTTCTTTTGCTCTCTAGTTTACTCCCGGTCCGGGGATCAAGCACTTGTTTCAGCAGCCATTGTATTCTCCAATCTTAAACGATTCGGTTTAATTCCTTCTACCACCTCATTTCGTAAGTTCGATTTGTACAAAAGAAAAGCCACAACACAAATATGCAGTCGATAATGGCCCCTTTTAGATGTAGAAAACACTGCATTCGTCGTGTAATATCCACAACAATATAACCGCATGTTCATCTTCATTCGGAAATAGTCGTTTTAGTTCGTTTTCGAGATACACACATTAACACGCTTCGCAGATATGTAAATTCTCCAGACACGTCCTCCTATGGAGGTGTCAGATCCTCACACCGAGGGAAAAGGACCAAAGGAAAAGATATGATTTAAATTGCATTGTAAATTTGATCAACTTTTCTGAAGAACCGCATCCTTTACCATCCTACAGGAGGAACATCCCCGACAGCGCACACGAGAACAACAGGCACCACAAGGACCACAGACCCTATTGTGACTTCACCAGGTAAGGTCTAGATCGGATCTGAAAATGCATTTGGGTGGTATGTGAAAGAAAAACCGAAAACATACATGTTATATAATAGTTTCGAGCGGGGAATGGAAAGTGGGGTGACACGGGTGGCCCAATCTCCTCGGCACCGCAATTCGCTGTGCTATGTTCCCTTAGTCGTGCCAGGAACCGACGAATTATGATCATCACAGAGTTGCCCTGAAAATGATCCTAGATTTGTCAGCACCATACCCGCGATCGTGGGTTTTACACAAGAGGAGAACGTGGGAGACCTGCAACACATCAGCTGACACTGCGTGACATAACTGAAATACTGTTCAAAGTGGCGCAAAACAACTCACTCAATCACTCCGGAATAAAGGTAGATCAGGATAAATCCCTTCGTTGGCTGGTCACGCCGAAAGCAGGTGTAATTCCCAATGTGGAGCTTTTGTTTCCTTTACAACGCCGCGATATGTTACTTTAATAATACTTAAATCGGTTACATTTTACTGAAACCGTTTTATCTTATCTCACATCTTTCGTGTGTCTCATTATCTGTCAATCAAGAATTGTGACATGTTTCATCTTGTATTTTTAATATTATTACAGTTCCAGCTGCAGTTGGTGTGACGTCGGAGAATGTGACCACGTTAGTTGCGTCTCTTGTCGGCGGCCTGGTCGGCCTTGTCTTTGTATCTATGGTCGTTGCCCTCCTGTGGAGAAAACAACGTGCTGGTAAGTAGAGGCACTGCAGATTGCGCGCAAGTTTGGCACCGACCATTTAATATTCCTATTGATAGTTTTTCAGCTATGCGTTATGGAACTGCTTTATTAAGTCAAAAAAGTGCATCATTGAACAGGAATGTTCAGAGTCTGGGTACAATATAAGTCAAGGTACATTATGGAACAGTAGGTTACAATAGTAGTAAGATACATCATGGAACAGTAGGGTACAGAATTGGTCAGTAAGGTACATTATGGAACAGTAGGGTACAATATTAGTAAGATACATCGTGCAACAGTAGGGTACAGTAGTAGTCAGTAAGGTACGTTATGGAACAGTAGGGTACAGTATTGGTCAGTAACGTGCATTATGGAACAGTAGGGTACAGTATTGGTCAGTAAGGTACATTATGGAACAGTAGGGTACAGTATTGGTCAGTAACGTGCATTATGGAACAGTAGGGTACAATAGTAGTCAGTAAGGTACATCATGGAACAGTAGGGTACAGCATTAGTCAGTGAGGTACATTTTGGAACAGTAGGGTACAGTATTAGTCAGTAAGGTACATCATGGAACAGTAGGGTACAGTATTAGTCAGTAAGGTACATCATGGAACAGTAGGGTACAATATTAGTGAGATACATCATGGAACAGTAGGGTACAGTATTGGTCTGTAATGTACATTATGGAACAGTAGGGGACAATATTAGTCAGTAAGTTACATTATGGAACAGTAGGTTACAATAGTAGTAAGATACATCATGGAACAGAAGGGTACAGTATTAGTCAGTAAGGTACATCATGGAACAGTAGGGTACAGTATTAGTCAGTAAGATACATCATGGAACAGTAGGGTACAGTATTAGTCAGTAAGGTACATCATGGAACAGTAGGGTACGGTTTTAGTCAGTAAGGTACATTATGGAACAGTAGGGTACAGTATTAGTCAGTAAGGTACATTATGGAACAGTAGGGTACAATATTAGTTAGTAAGGTACATCATGGAACAGTAGGGTACAGTATTAGTCAGTAAGTTACATTATGGAACAGTAGGGTACAGTATTAGTCAGTAAGGTACATCATGGAACAGTAGGGTACAGTATTAGTCAGTAAGGTACATCATGGAACAGTAGGGTACAGTATTAGTCAGTAAGGTACATTATGGAACAGTAGGGTACAGTTTTAGTCAGTAAGATACATTATGGAACAGTAGGGTACAATAGTAGTCAGTAAGGTACATCATGGAACAGTAGGGTACGGTTTTAGTCAGTAAGGTACATTATGGATCAGTAGGGTACAATATTAGTCAGTAAGATACATCATGGAACAGTAGGGTACGGTTTTAGTCAGTAAGGTACATTTTGGAACAGTAGGGTTCAGTATTAGTCAGTAAGGTACATTGTGGAACAGTAGGGTACAGTATTAGTCAGTAAGGTACATCATGGAACAGTAGGGTACAGTATTAGTCAGTAAGGTACATCATGGAACAGTAGGGTACAGTATTAGTCAGTAAGGTACATTGTGGAACAGTAGGGTACAATATTACTCAGTAACGTGCAGTATAGAACAATATAAGTCAGTAACGTGCATTGTGGAACAGAAGGTTGTAAGGTGTAGCATCCTACCTGACTGCTTTTTATTTCGTGAACACATGGTGGCATCACTGATTTTCAGTGGCCCATTCATATATATAATTTTCACAGCTATTTTGACCTTTACGTCATATGGAATCTGGTTGGGCGGATAATCAAGAGTGGTGATTCTCCTGCATTGACTTTTTATATTTATATATTTTCAGCCAGAAACGATTCCACTTTTAACCTGAGGTCTGGTCAGAACGATCTCCGGCACGAAAAGTACACACATCATGGTATGCTGGAAACCTTACTGAATAACACTGAAAGATAGAGTGAGTGGATGAGTGGACATCTTTTTTTCCTCTTCCATCTTTAGCACGAATGGGCGTGTAAGTATTGTGTCGAAGACGGTAGCCGGACACATGTGTCATACGTGACGAGCTCAATATGCAGTGAATCCCCAACACTGCCCGGACCGCCTCAGTGGTCCAGCGGTAGAGTGTCCCCCCGGAGAGCGGAGGTCTTGGGTTCGATCCCCGGCCGCGGCATACCAAAAGAAGTTAAAAGATGGTACTTGTTGTTACCCTGTCCGGCGTTCGGCATTAAGGCTAAAGCAAGGACTGTTTGGCTCGGAGTATACTGTGTCTTAGTAGGGTATTCATGTTAAACTGCGGCATGGTATCTCAGTGTGCTAGCACTATAAATCAGCATCAGTCCGGACAAGTACAAGCAGCCTCACACACGCACGCACGCACGCACGCACGCACGCACGCACGCACGCACGCACCATATATATATATATGCATGCGATATAGGAATACAAACTATATTATACCAGCCTATACTACATATTTTGTATTCCATCTCAATGTTTTCACTGACCAGATCAAGACATTGTATTTCGCCGATGTTGACGGGTTAAGGCCATTACGGTAGGGTCTGTAGGTCCGAATCCCCGCAGCATGTGATCGTCTTGTGTCTGCTGAGACTACGAACTAGTCTCGTCAACGCCGATGACGTAACCGTCAGAAAACTGTCGCGCAGATGATACCAGCGCAGAAGGCGGTCCTCCTATGGGATGGTGACACGTGATCTACCGCTTCGTGGCCTGTCCCTTGTGTGCCCAGTCTGGTGGCATTGCTGATGTTGTCAGTCGGCTGCACCTAAGCGTTCTTGCAAGACTCCACCCACCCCTCCACCCCCACCCCTACACCATTCTCTGTTCTGCCGATAGCCTTGGCATGTTTCTCGCGCCTGCTGTTATCAGCTGTGATGTTTTGAGATCCAATCCCTTGCTTTTTATACCATCTGTGCAGTTACATCTCGTGCTGTCATTAACAACGCCTGTTTTTTACAACACCCAAGAAGAATCTTTTTCTCAAAATGTACGAACTTCTAACCGTCAGATGATGCTGAGTGTGTTTTGTCAATCGCTTTTAACCTGAATTCCTGTTCACAATCTAACCATGTATTTTGTTTAGGGAAAAGATCAAGCTATCAGTAAACGTGACTAAATTGAAGTAAACGTGGCTGAATACACGTACCTTGAATTATTTCGACACACAGTCATCTGCAATATACATTCGACAAGCGAAGTCGGTTCCAAAGTCAATATATCGTGGTCAAATCTACACACAACCTAGCTCTAAATTGAAAACAGAGAACATTTATCTCCTTTCTAAATCGCCCATGCCTGTATGTTCCAGAGCATCTTGTGAAGAAGGTTTATTTGCTGTATGCTGAAGACCACAAAGATCACATCAATGTCATCACCAATCTGGCCATCTACCTGAAGGACCGCTGCAACTGCAAGGTGTTCTTCTTGCCTTGGTACCGTGGCACCGTCCAGTCAACAGGCGTCTATCAGTGGATCATAACACACATCGACCAGGCAGACTATGTCATCGTCATCAGCTCGGAGGCTGCGTTCAACCTGTTTGATTCTCGGAGCACCAACATCTCCTACCGAGCCGAGGACGAAGGGCCGGAGGGGGACAGCTTCTCCCCAGCCATGACGCATGTGATGGCCAAATCCTCGGAACCCGGTTTCTTCAAGAAGACCATATTAGTATACTTTGAGTACACGAAGGAGGATTTCGTCCTGAAGGAGATCAGCCCGGGGGTTCAGTATAAGTTGCCTAAACATTTCAGGGAGATGCTATGCCACATCCATGAGATTAATGCTGAGAACAGGAAACAGATTGATGGTATGGACAACCTACAAGCCACTACGGGAGGCCGTAACTTCTTAGAAGCTGTAACCAAAGCCAAACACTTCGAGAAGTCGGATCCTGGATGGTTTGGGAAAAGGTTCAAGCGACATGATTCGGCTTACGGCTCCGTGCAAGATGAAGCGGAAGTGGAGGATTCGGTCTCAATGAAAGCAAGGCCTGATTACGTCAACGAAGCTTATGATTATGATGATGAGTTTAAGAGTGCTGTAACATATAACACTGCATATGATTTAGCTCACCCGGAAGACATTGCACCCCCCAGCGAGGTTGCAACTGACACGTCAACAAACTACATCAACATGCAGTTTCAGCGCATCAACATGGCCAACGGCGGCCCACAACGTGAGAGTCTTGACTTCCTCCCACCCAGTGAGACATACACACATACCGACACTACCGTCAACATGGAGAGCATCTAGGATAAACAGGGGGGGGCAAATAAAACCTACCGGCCAGTCCACGTGATGATTGTTTGTTTGTTTGCTGTTTAACGCAGCACTCAGCAATATTCAAGCTGTATGACGTCGGTCTGTAATTAATCGAGTCTGGACAAGACAATCCAGTGATTGACATCATGAGCATCGATCCACGCAATTGGGATCAGGTCAGCGAGCGATGAAATATGATAAGTCCAAATATTAATCTCCATGACATGACGCAATGTTCAACACTCCCGACACATTGTATATAACTATACTTCTTATGTATATTTTGATGTTGTACATACTAAGTCTGGTGAAAAAAACAAATACCGTATTCGACGTAATAAGCGCCCCGCTCTAATAAGCACCCACGGCGATATTTGCTAATATATGGCAAGTAAACAATCCCAATTAGCATCCCCTCCGATTGATCAATGTATACAAGACTTATTTATTCGTGTATAATACGCACTCGTGTGTTATATGCACCCTTAACTATGGGCAATTAAATTCTCGAAAAATATATCTGTCGTATATAAACAGTTCAGACTGTCAGCATAAACCACGAAATTTATCTTTTAACTCTGTTTTTTCCACCAAAATAATATTCTAATAAGAGCCCCCTATTTCTAATTTTGAGAGCGCCCTGGGCGCTTATTACGTCGAATACCGTACATGTCACATGAGGCCTTTAATTAATGACTGACGTGATGCGATACAATATACTCCCACTGTTGCCTTCAAATCGTCCATTATTCACCCAGCACCTCGGGTTTAGTTTGTGAATGCGTTGTCCTAATATAAATATTTGTCATTTCGAAATAGGTGAGTGATTTAGGCAACTTTTAACCTCAGTGCAGCCATTCCGGGGCATGTCGGCGAGAGGCCCCACAGGGGTCATATCTCAGACCAAGGATCATTATCGGATATATGAGGAGGACGGAGTCCTCTAATGCTGTTTTATTGTGTTATTGTTTTCGAAAGAAGTCTTAGTGAAATGGGGCAAATCATCTTCTCGGGGCACTGATGATAAAGAAGATGGAGAAGATGGGGTGGGGCGGAGGGACAAAGTATCTTGACTTGTACCATATGTTCCCGTGTTTTTTCAGGTGAACAGTTGACTTGCCTTTGCATGTGTTTGTGACGGGTCCCACCAGTGGGGCAGGATACGCTCACCTTTTTGCGAACACCTGGTATCATTAATATTTGATAGTGATTCATAAACACGTGCTCATGATATAGTCGGAATCGTACAATCGACTCGGCTTTATGCAGAGATTTTTTTTGAATATGGAAAAGGTTTTCTCGCTGTATTTACATAGGTAAAATATGTGAAGCTCTATATCTGGTCTCCTCCGCTGAAATATTGATGTCATGTTGTTAAAAGTGGTAAAATCACTCACTCACTTTGTTAAACAAATGTTAAGCCTCGCTTTTACACTTTCCCAGGTGTCCGTACTACGGTGGCGTATATACGACAACCACAGTTTATGTGTTATAGCTGTATTCTGGACAGCCAATAAACTTTACTAAAATAAAAATATACTGTTGTCCATTTTTTACAATGAACTAGGGGGCACAGGTGGCCCAGTCGTCTAAGGCGCCGCGATTCGCTGTGCAGAGTCGCGTCCCTTGGGCAAGCCAGAACCTATGATTATGGGTTCGAATCCCGGTTCGCCCCGATTATGTTTCTAGGTTTGTCAGCACCATACCCGTGATCGTGGGTTTCACCGAAGTGGTAAACGTCTGAGACCTGCATCACTTCGGGCTCTCCTCCCACATTAAGCTGACACGCCGCGATATAACTGGAATACTGTTAAAAGCGGCGTTAAACCCAACTCACTCACTCACTCACTTACAATGATTTACGTGTTTCAAGGAAGGGAGGTACCATCTGTAGCCGCTCGGTCTTATTCCGTTACCTATATGATTCCTCGGACAGCGCTGGAGTTCCGAACATTTTCTTGTCCTGCTTTGGTTAATTTTGACACTTTTTGCCTATTTTTGTATCACTTATAAAATCTATCAATTACCGCTAAAACAGTATAAGTCCGGACTAGAACAAGCAACCATACACACAGGTACACGTGGCTATATATGTGCAATGACTTAAAACGTACCGTTAAAACTCATTTCACTCCACCTAATCCATTCTCATTGTGGCATTGTCCTTGTACGAGGGTTGAATGTCAATTGACGTGATACAAGCGGAGGAGTGACATTTGTGTATCTCGATATGGAGTGAGTGAGTATGGTTTTACGCCGCTTTTAGCAATATTCCAGCAATATCACGGCGGGGGACACCAGAAATGGGCTTCACACATTGTACCCATGTCGGGAATCGAACCCGGGTCTTCGGCGGGTCTTCGGCTTTAACCACTAGGCTACCCGACCGCCCCTTCTCGATATGGAAGTCCAGAGTCCAACAATACATCAAATCAAAATATACCTGACCTTACAGCCTTGAAAGATAAAATGTACTTCCTCGACGGTGATTTTAAAGGGCGACTATGTATGCTTGGTCACTTTGGCAGATTAAGCAAATAAGTTTGATTGAAATCGTTTAAACACTCTGTTTGGTAACTCAAACTGTTTGATGCTGTAAATGAATACCCCGATTACAAGGAAACTGTGATCTAGTTTCACACATGGCTCTGATAACATCGATCTCAACGTTAACGGAAAATTACCGACGACGCAAGAGCGTAGTCCGTCTATAAATACACAGCATTCACGAAGTTCAATCATTGTCATATAAACACACCTTCACGGATTTGGTTGCAAGTGTAAACAAAGAAACATACATATTGGCTGAGTGGGATAGATCTCTGACTTTGTGTTCTGATGATTAAGTGCTTCACTCTTGCAGGGTGGGTTCGAATCCCGGACGGGACTCAACCCGAAAAAGTAGACTCTGTACTTTACTGAGAAAGTCTTATCCCAAATATAACTTTTGTTACATATGACCTCTTTCTAAATGGAATTATGTCCTTATTCTACGGAATTTTCAAAAAAGTTAACGTTCATTGTCATTGATAGTAGTAAGACATCTGATATGTCATGTTGGCACGTACTAAGGCTTATCTAGCTCTTTGTATAGATCTCCCTCTTTGACGAGTACGGCTTGGGCACCTTTCATGGCCCCCCTATTGGTGTTCCCATTTTGCCTGTGCTGGGGGTGGGGATGCAAGGGAATTTACTTTTTGACCAATATTGAACGAAAACATCATTGATATACCTGAAGCTTACAATTAACTTCTTAGCCAAATCCCATTATTTGATTTTACCAATAGAACTTATGATTCATATGTACAAGAACTTATGATTCATATGTACAAGAACTTATGATTCATATGTACAAAGAAACAGATTAGAAAGGTGGGGAGCACCGTTGCTGTCCCTGCGGATGCCTGCTTCTTGCCTTAATGCCATGTCCCTAATTCTACCCAGAATTTTCCTGAATTTTCCTGAATTTTCCTGAGCCTTTGAATATAAAAATGTAACTTAATATATGGTCACCGTAATAGTGACCAATATTAGCAACACACACACGCGTATTAAGTGTCTCAGTATCACATACATACATACATACATACATACATACATACATACATACATACATACATACATACATACATACATACATACATACATACATACATACATACATACATACATAATTGGAGTGGGGCGCATCATAATAGGACCTGCACAGTAGAAGTGGTGCACATCATTATAGGACCTGCACAGAAGGAGTGGAGCGCATCATTATAGGACCTGCACAGTAGGAGTGGTGCACATCATTATAGGACCTGCACAGTAGGAGTGGTACACATCATTATAGGACCTGCACAGTAGGAGTGGTGCACATCATTATAGGACCTGCACAGTAGGAGTGGTGCACATCATTATAGGACCTGCACAGTAGGAGTGGTGCACATCATTATAGGACCTGCACAGTAGGAGTGGTGCACATCATTATAGGACCTGCACAGTAGGAGTGGTGCACATCATTATAGGACCTGCACAGTAGGAGTGGTTCACATCATTATAGGACCTGCACAGTAGGAGTGGTGCACATCATTATAGGACCTGCACAGTAGGAGTGGTGCACATCATTATAGGACCTGCACAGTAGGAGTGGTGCACATCATTATAGGATCTGCACAGTAGGAGTGGTGCACATCATTATAGGACCTGCACAGTAGGAGTGGTGCGCATCATTATAGGACCTGCACAGTAGAAGTGGAGCGCATCATTATAGGACCTGCACAGTAGAAGTGGAGCGCATGATTATAGGACCTGCACAGTAGAAGTGGTGCACATCATTATAGGACCTGCACAGTAGGAGTGGTGCACATCATTATAGGACCTGCACAGTAGGAGTGGTGCACATCATTATAGGACCTGCACAGTAGGAGTGGTGCACATCATTATAGGACCTGCACAGTAGGAGTGGTGCACATCATTATAGGACCTGCACAGTGGGAGTGGTGCACATCATTATAGGACCTGCACAGTAGGAGTGGTGCACATCATTATAGGACCTGCACAGTAGGAGTGGTGCACATCATTATAGGACCTGCACAGTAGGAGTGGTGCACATCATTATAGGACCTGCACAGTAGGAGTGGTGCACATCATTATAGGACTTGCACAGTAGGAGTGGTGCACATCATTATAGGACCTGCACAGTAGGAGTGGTGCACATCATTATAGGACCTGCACAGTAGGAGTGGTTCACATCATTATAGGACCTGCACAGTAGGAGTGGTGCACATCATTATAGGACCTGCACAGTAGGAGTGGTGCACATCATTATAGGACCTGCACAGTAGGAGTGGTGCACATCATTATAGGATCTGCACAGTAGGAGTGGTGCACATCATTATAGGACCTGCACAGTAGGAGTGGTGCGCATCATTATAGGACCTGCACAGTAGAAGTGGAGCGCATCATTATAGGACCTGCACAGTAGAAGTGGAGCGCATGATTATAGGACCTGCACAGTAGAAGTGGTGCACATCATTATAGGACCTGCACAGTAGGAGTGGTGCACATCATTATAGGACCTGCACAGTAGGAGTGGTGCACATCATTATAGGACCTGCACAGTAGGAGTGGTGCACATCATTATAGGACCTGCACAGTAGGAGTGGTGCACATCATTATAGGACCTGCACAGTGGGAGTGGTGCACATCATTATAGGACCTGCACAGTAGGAGTGGTGCACATCATTATAGGACCTGCACAGTAGGAGTGGTGCACATCATTATAGGACCTGCACAGTGGGAGTGGTGCGCATCATTATAGGACCTGCACAGTAGGAGTGGTGCACATCATTATAGGACCTGCACAGTAGAAGTTGTGCACATCATTATAGGACCTGCACAGTAGGAGTGGTGCACATCATTATAGGACCTGCACAGTAGGA